GGCAATAATGTTGTAATTAAATATGAGAAACAACAAATATTGGATAAAAACATGGAACATTGAGTGTGTTGCATCAAGTGAGAAAATTGCTAGTATAGTAAGTTTAAATATTTGATCCGTGACTTTAAAGAATCTACAATTTTAATAAACTGTATACTTCCGTTAGCAAACACACAGTTTAAATAAGTATATATAGTCTATATATATATATATATATATATATATATATATATATATATATATATATATATATATATATATATATATATATATAGACTATATATATATATATATATATATAGACTATATATATATATATATATATATATATATATATATATATATAGACTATATATATATATATATATATATATATATATATAATTTAAAACGAAAACTTGATATCTAATTCTAAGATGGGGTGTTGGATCAATTAATTAAAAGACATTTCTACGTCCTTGTATTAATAAAAGACAACATTTTATTCTTTGGTGATTTGGTGAAAAAGTTCGATAGTACGGTGCTACAGGTTAGCCGTACGTAAAGGCCGGTGGCTCCTGGTGTGTCTACTCGTGAAGTCACGTGATAACCGTATGTTAGGTGACCATTAATACTATACTTTTTTTTTTTGGTTTTACACAATCTGCATACATTTTTATACGGAGTCCTCAACAACAGTAAAATTAACAATGAAACTAATGCAGCGATTACTTATTTCAGATAGTTTTTAAAATTGTATGTGACGTTTGTACCGTTTGTATTGACATGTGTATAAGTAAGACTCATCTACAAATTTACCGACACACTAGGAATGCCGAAAGGATTTGGACTATAGTCTGAGTACTAGATGGTTTGAGCTAAAGTGATAGAAAAAGGCGCGGGTTTTCTTAGTAGGCCTACTTTTGTCTCTCCCGGCACGATATATATTTTTTTCTCTGGAGAAGGTTACTTGCATTATCATAACAAATCGGCAAATACCAATTTATTAGAAAACTATAACGAATTACTAACATTGCAGATGTTTCTTTAAACTAATCAAAACAATATTTTTTTCAAAGTGAAATTAATTTTCACATTATTAAAAATAATAAATAAAATAAAATTTCATCCTCTTTAATTATGACCATTTAATATAATTTCATTGAATATCAATAAAACTAATATTTTATGAAAATCATTCTTTTAAATCATACTTCTTAAACCAAGCATAATGAGAAGATAACTGCTAACCATTTCTAACACTAAATAGATTTGTAACTAGACTCTATGCATTAAAGACGAGATAGCCTTTCAAAAAATGTTCACAAAATGTTTGAAAATTAAACACACAATTTGTAAACTACAGAATTTCATGTTGTTCTGTTTTTTAAAAAAGTAAGACTAAACGCTTCTACTCTGGTCTCTTTAACACAATGAATACAAAACAATGCAGTTTATAAATATTGTCTACATAGTTTAAATACTATACAAAATTGTATAACTTACACCCTGATACTAACTCTGAATTATTCAACTGTGTTTTTATTGTAGTTACGACACTTTCCGACATATGTCTACATAATTTATCTCAATATGAAAGATACTATTACATTTTTTTAAAATGTACATTGAAATATGTTATTTGCTGAATAAGTTGGCCAAAAAACTATGTATTCAGAATAATATTACCAATTTGGTTTAGCTAATAATTATTCAAACACCATTAGATTTACAACGATGTGCGTGAAGACTTAGTTGTAGGATTTAAGACACTCGTAATTTTAGGTCGTTAATATGTGCGCATACCCACGGCTTTTCAAAAGAGAGACGTGTTTAACTATTATAAGGGTAAGTTCTATGTTACACCAATTATCACTTGTTTTTGTTTTTTAATTTTGAATTAAATTTCCGTCCATCAAAACATTTTCTGTACTGAAAAAATAATTTTTAAACTCATTTTCTTTAAAAAAAAATAAAAGACGTAATCTACAGAGCTAAATGGGGAAAAAAAAATATCAAAACTTAACAATGTGGCTGAAACTGATTTCGCGGGTTTGTTTTGCAGTTTGACCGTCACGTCAACATTTAAACACCCGCTTGTCATACCCCGGTCTTTGCCGTACGGCATTTCACGAGGTTTCGGGAAATTCTTCCGAAATTTCCTTCCGCTTCCTTCATCAACTGCAGCGGCTGTTGTCGGTGTGGGTAACGTGATGCTGCTGGTTGGATCGACGCCTCACCACCACGTCTGCTGGTCGCAGCTTGGGTTTCTCACCTTTGTCGAGATGACAGCATCCAGGAACAAAGACACCTGACATGCACGGCATGAAACGATGGAGTCGCGTGCGTAACATCCACACGCATTTTCGTCATTTAGCCTACCATAAGTTTCAGTGTGAGCAATTTTGATGGTCTTCTATAAATATATACATTATATATATATATATATATATATATATATATATATATATATATATATATATATATATATATATATATATATATATATATATATATATATATATATATATATATATATATATATATATATATATATATATATATATATATATATATATAGATAGATAGATAGATATATATATATATATATATATACACATATAGATATATAGATATATATATACATATATATATATATATATATATATATATATATATATATATATATATATATATATATATATATATATATATATATATATATATATATATATATACATCGTAGATCTGTTGGTATTGCCTTCGTTGATCTATTATTACTAGAATCTTTTGTAGGCCTTGTAAACGCGTTTTTCCCAACACCAACTCTGCCATACGTGTTCATTAGACCGAATAAAGCCACTAGATCAGGTGGATTTGAACCCTTTATGGTGTAACTAAACTTCGCGAGCATGGCCTAGTCATTGATTGTCGTTCGAATAATGCATTACACGCAGAGAAGGGGGGAAACTTGCAAATAGTTCAGTTGTAAAAAACGGATTTTTTTTTACCTGTCGAGTAGTTATTTGATACCGAGCTAGCGATTTTAATAACAGATTTAAGAGATTATGTAGATTTAAGTTTAAGGAAAAACATCAAAGGTGGGAGAGTTGTACAATGTTACTCTGAATTTTTGTTCTTTTTTTTTGTCAATGTCTTTGCATATTAACTTTAAGTTATATATTTTTATTTAATTTATTTGAGAGAAGAGAAAAAACTCATTTTAAAAATGATTATTAAATATTTGTTATCAACTATTGTGTATTAAGAACTAAGAAGAACTATTTTCCAAGTTTACAAGTGTTTTTTTTTTTTTAATCGCCTTTTTCATAATTTTCGCGTCACAACTCACTTTCCTAGTCGACCAAACACCTAGCCTTCAGCCTTATCCATCTTAGTTTGGCTCGTCGTCTTATAAAAATCTGGACACACCGAATGCTAAATCTGGGTAAATCACGGATAAATCTTTTTAAAAAAAATATCATTCTATCGCCGTCTAAAGTATTGAATGTTTGAAAAAAAAATTCCTTAATCTACACATGACCCAAATCTTTTAGATTATCGAAATATGTTGAGTAAACACACCCCACCAACAATATGTTATAAAGGTGTATCATATTCTTGATATATTGACACATTTAGACACATATTTGAAAGAGATTCCCTCCATTAAATAGCCCGAAGCGTGCAAATGTAATTAAGTAAACATATAATACAATGTTATAAAGTATTTAATAAATTGATAAACTTTAATTAAGTGCATTACATAAACGGTATAATTGCATTTATTTATACTGCAACTTTTTGAAAAAAAGCGTATAAACTTACATATGTGTTTGCCAGATTTATAAACACTAGACCGATTTATAGTTGTATAAACATTAGGCCGATTTGGATAGTTTTATAAACACTAAACCATATCGGCAAGTCTTAAAAGCACTGACGAAAAATGGGCCAGTTTTAAAAATGCCGAACCAGATAGTATCCTAATGTAAGCCAAAACTAATTTGTATGTACATTAAAAATTTGAACTTAAATATTTCTGCATTTGGTTAGAAAAAAAATCACAAAGCTCTTTGGCGTTTAACCCTGTCTAGCTTATAGACAGTGTTTTATGGATGACGGGTCATACTCTCCAACCCATAAATGGCAGATCATACTCTCCAAACCATGAATGGCAGCTCATAATCTCCAAACCATAAACGGCAGATCATACTCTCCAAACCATAAATGGCAGATCATACTCTCCAAACCATAAATGGCAGATCATACTCTCCAAACCATAAATGGCAGATCATACTCTCCAAACCATAAATGGCAGATCATACTCTCCAAACCATAAATGGCAAATCATACTCTCCAAACCATGAATGGCAGATCATACTCTCCAACCCATAAATGGCAGATCATACTCTCCAAACCATAAGTGGCAGATCATACTCTCCAAACCATGAATGACAGATCATACTCTCCAAACCATAAATGGCAGATCATACTCTCCAAACCATAAATGGCAGTTAATACTCTCAAACCCATTCATATGTATCAGAATTCTTCTCATATACCATATTAGGTTCTGACAAGATAAAAAGCATTCAAAAACAAAATCTGATATGTCATTGACATTTAAACATCTAGGCAAATAAAATATCCGAGAAGTAAAATATTGAAATATTTCAATATTCGAACACGTCGACTTTCATTTTATCAGGTGATTCAGCTTTCGAAACGAATTCAGCTTTCGAACCAAATTCAGCTTTCGAACCAAATTCAGCTTTCGAACAATCTGGAGCTTGGGTTCACTCAACAAATTCACGTCACTCCCAAATTAGGAAAGACAACATTCACACAAACAAACCAATACGAAAATCACAAACATTCGATGCCCATTCTATTTCTTTTTAGAAACTCTATTTCTCGTCAAAATTGGAAATTTTCATTGAAAAAAAAAAATATCAACACAATGCCACGAATCCATTCATGAAGTTGGGCTAATTGTAAATAGTTTTTTTTTTTGCGCATGCGCAGGCGTTCTTTCTCTGGCAAACAAAGAGTCCAAATCCGAAAAGGAGAAACTCGATGCCATCTAGCGACATCTCGGCTGTCTTTGATTCTAGATATGTCTTCCATCAAGGTAGATAACTCGTCCGAACCGGATGTGATTTCCGAGAATTACAAAAGCACACACAAAAGAAAACGCAACCGTGTTTTTTTTTGTTCCAGAAATAGATTGAGCGGATATTCCCTTAACTTGAGCTCTTCCTTATGTTTTTGTTATTGTTTTTTTCAACAGTGAAATCATGTGATCATTGAGTCTTTGGACATAAATACACATTTTGGTTAGCCTAGTATTTAGGTGAATAATTTTAAAATATTTAAAAGAAAAAAACATGTTTTTTTTTCTTTGTTTACTGAATGTATCCATTTTCAGGCTAAAAATAGCCGTTTTAAATTATTCTGTTCCTAAATTTTTGTTTTTTTTTCTTCTTTTTAAATTGATTCCAGCAGTTTCAGTAATGCATTCCCGTCAGTATTGGGCGAATAGGAATTTTCTGAATAGTGGGTAAAGCGATGCACCATTTAATCCAGTGTTGAGTATTTTTTTTTTTATTTACTAAGGACGGAAAGTTCTAGAATATTTTTATGTGTATTGTAAGACTTGAGGGGGGTGTAGGGATATATGCCCGAGGGTGGAGAGAGGGGAATGGTCGCTAGGAGGGGTGGGCATAGAACCACTGCTCTGACAGACGTACCACTCGCTTAAGCTCGTGGGATGGTGAGGATGGGGGTGGTGCGGGTGATGGTGGGATAGAAGAGGGTTAGGGTGGTGGGGGAGGTGGGGGAGGGACGGCGGGCTGGAAATCAGGTGACCGGCGTTGGAATGTACAGGCGCGAGGGCGGGGATGGGGTGGGGCGGTTGGGGCACCGACGACCGATGCTGTTGTTGTTGCTGTTGTTGCTGCTGCTGTTGTTGCTGCTGCTGGCGTTGGCTTTGCTGCTGCTGTTGTTGTTGTTGTTGCGACGACATCTGCTGATGCTGTGACGACGGGGGTGAGTTGACCGGCGGGGAGGACACCGACGCTGGGCTCGGAGCCTGGTTAGACTCGCTGGACGGGCTCTCGGGGTCCGAGTCGTACCCGTCCGGCAGCGGCGACGTCTTGCCGTGGACCTTCATGTGCTTTCTCAGCGAGCTGGGGTGGGTGTAGGACTTGTCGCAACCTTTGACCTTACAGTTGTAAGGCTTGTCGCTCGTGTGCACGTGCGAGTGCTTCTTCCGGTCTGAGCTGTTGGCGAAGCGCCGGTCACAGCCGTCGAACTCACACTTAAAGGGCTTCTCACCTGGGGAAATTTAATTAAGAAAATTAGTTGATAGTAATTAAATATTTGTTTACCTATGCATGTAGTTGGAGAAAATAAAAAGAAATTAAAAAGATGGGTAAGTATTAACAAGGACGTCTAGACTTCATTTCCATAGGGTATGTATAAGTGTGTAATATATATATAATATATATATATATATATATATATATATATATATATATATATATATATATATATATATATATAAGTGTGTAGGATATATATATATATTTATATATATATATATATATATATATATATATATATATATATATATATATATATATATATATATATACATTAGTGTGTAGAAGATATATAAGTATGTGAGACGTATAGGAGTCTGTAGGACTTTCATTAGTCTTGTAGTATGTCTATGTCAGTAGGAAGTCCATCAGTCCGAAGGAAATCCATAAATCTATAGGACATCCATGAGTCTGTAGGTCATCTATAAATATGTAGGACATTAATTATTTTGTAGTATATCCAAGTATGTAGGACGTTCGTTAGCCTGTAGCACGTCCATAAGTATGTAGGACGCCCAGGAGACTGTATGACGTACATAATGTTGAAGGAACCATCACCATCCACCCAACTCATATAATGTGCTCCTAAGTCGTGGAATAGATCAACTAACCTAACGTTATCGTATAAAAAATGTTAACAAAACATCGTATAAAAATGTTAACAAAACATCTGCGCCCGTGTGTTCCTATCTAGGCGGATATGTGCAAGAAACTGTTGAATAATTTACAGCCCTGTCGCGAGACGCTAAGATTAGCTAAGTAGGACTTCCGCGCATGCGTATTGATGGGGGAAATAAATATTTATTAGATTCGGCTCCAACCCAGACTAGACAATTAAAAAAAAATTCCTTTTTCGAATTCGTCAGTAGCTTATGTAGTAATTAATAAAAACTGATATTTTTTTTTATAGCCAAAGTTTAGTTATTAATTAATTTCTCTCATCGCTTAAGGCTAAGTTTGTAGCTGATCTACATACACGACATAGTAATAATAATATAAAGCGTTTCATTTTACAATTCTTCGTGAGCAATACACACGTTTCATTGGCTATCAGTATGAGGCTGTTTTTTTATTAGCAACTCATTACATCGAATTAAAATCAGTTAACGAAGGGTCGTTTGTTGAAGAAGAGATGTCCAATTGACACATACGGTGGTTGGTCTTGCTAGTATACTAGATCCTTGTAACTGATACGCTGACTATTGAAACACAATAACAATTGTTTCCTCAACAAAATAACAACAATAATGAAACAACACAAACAAAAATAGTAGGACAATAAGGTGTGAGTAGAAAGATATCGGCGTATAAGATAAGTGGCATGATATCTGAGTATAGGATAAAGAGGAATATATATGTGTATAGGATAAGTAGCTAGACATCTGCGTAAAGGTAAGTAGCTAGACATCTGCGTATATGATAAGTAGCTAGATGTCTGAGTATAGGATAAGTAGCTAGATATCTGCGTATTTGATAAGTAGCAAGATATCTGCGTATAGGATAAGTAGCAAGATATATCTGTAGTTCTCATAAGTTTTACTGTGTTGTACTGACAGTGGGAATAGTTCCTTTCCTGTTACGATTTTAGTCACATAAGGGTGTTTCGATAAACGATTCTGTTCATGGAGTATGTAAATCATCACGTCGGATACATTACAGTAACAACACTATAAAGTGCAGTCATTACGTCACTAGTGTCACATATGTTAACATAACGGATCGACGAGGAAGTTGAGTTTATTATTATAAAAAATCATCAATATTTCATCAATTTTTCATTAATTTCTCATTATAAAATATGATCCATGTCACACAAAAATGTTTCTGTGTAATGTCGCAATCATGGATATATCACGAATAGGTGGATTCATGGTTTATATTCACGGGGTATCTGTCGATCTATACTAAGCTGTTTCCCTGAAAACCATATGTTTTATAGAAATGTACTATCACCAAAATCAATACGGAACAAAACTAATAATTACATGTATCAAAGATGGCGCGAAAATAAATTATAAATCCCATACGACCTTCAGGGTTCATTTATTCAGGCGTCAACCCTGCCCCAAATTCAGACTAGCGGAGTGTGTAAAACGGTAGAATGTATCATCTTATCTTGTCGTCATCTCATCGACCGGGGTTCAAGGACAGCGTGGGCGAGGATTTTTATAGTTTTTTTTTTTTTAATTTTTTTTTTGTGTTGCACTTTGTATTGTATCTGTATCAAACCTGGGCTAATTAATTACAGGAACGATGACCTTGATGTGTCAATCAAGGACAGCACACACACATCTGCTGCCACCGTACATGAAGTTGTCAACCTGACCAGTCTCCACATGAAGACTTGCCACACTGAACTGATTTTGAGATTTGGAAACGTTCAGTCGGCTTTAAAAATTATACTTTAATTAATTACAATTTTAAATCATGTCCGCATAAATATTCTATTATCTACATAACTTGTTAGTCGTATGTATAGTCGTATATATATATATATATATATATATATATATATATATATATATATATATATATATATATATATATATATATATATATATATATATATATATATATATATATAAAACAACTAAACATATAGAGGTGTAGCTTTTAAGAAATGTTAGGTATTGAAATATGATTTAAATTTAAAATAAAACGGGAGCGAAAATGTGTTAGTTGTTTAATTTTTGTTCAAGATAATTTAAATTCCAAAGTTTTTTTTTATTGTAACTAATTCATTAAAAACAATTCTAATTACGATACGGATAAATAATCCATCAGTGATTTTCGTCAGTACCAACGTTAACAAAAACTTCCACGTTTACTACATAAACTTGTTTTATATCTTTTGTTTTTTGTAAAAAAAACATTATAATATTCGTAAGCCTACTTAAAATAATAACAAATGCTTTTAGAAAATAATCACAGTAGTCATGCTCTCTCTTCCAAATCAGTATATTATATAATCAGGTCATTAAGGTAAAAAATAAAATAATCATTCTTATATCGAAACTGGTCAAATATGGCACCTGTGTCATTTTATTATTTTATCAGTTTATTTATTAAGAAAAAAAAACTAAAAAATTATAAAATACTTTTTAAAAAACCGTTTACTTAATTAAAGAATTATTATTTATATTTTATTCTATGAGCTAGCTGTAACCACAAAGAGCCAATCTTATTATGTTTACTTACATAAGAGATTGCCATGGCAACACAGTGCCTTACCAGTTACAGTTGCCAGGTGTTTTGTTTTATCAATCGGTCAAACTGCGGCAATTTGGTTTTTCAAAAATGCCAAAAAGCTTATCTAAGTTTCTCAGATTTTTTTCTTTTAACAACTGGTAGTTTTTTTTCTTTTCCAAAATGTAATTTTAAAATGGCATTTTTTTTTGGATTTAAATTCAAATTGTTTAAGCTCATCCAGTGCTGATACGAAATTTGTTTAACACTAAATTAAGAATATATTTTTGTAAATATTGTCTTTTACTCTTGGAGTTTGTTTATAAAAAATAGTATCTCAGCTTTTAGTTCAAAAATCAAGGGGTACACGTTATGGGGAGAGGTTTAGTCTATACCAGGTGCCTACAAATATTATTTGGAGCGAAATTTTTTTAAAAACCGAACCGCACGTGTTTTGGTTTGAGAGTTTCGCATTTTAATTTTCGTTTAGAGAGTGTTTTTTTTTGTGTAACTAGTAAATCATCATTTCCTGTCTTAAGAATTAATTAGATTATTAAAATAATCGCAACCATCTAAAATACTGCTAAGTTTTGAAAAAAAATCAGGAGTCGAGCAAAATATTAAACAGCATCTATATTCAACAGAAAAAAGACTCACTTTGTGTGAAGAAAATTCTTTAAAATTTAAAAAAAAAAACAGAAATTTAAAAAAAAGTTAAGTTATTCAAAAAAAAATAATTTCAACGACAGATAATCTCAAACACCCTGCGGTTTGAAATTTAGGGTCATACCTCGGGGTCAAACGTGGGGGTCGAAACACTTCAGGTAAGAAAGACTCGCGTCAGTTGAAGAACGGATGCTATAAAATGTGGGGAGCGATTACCTGAATGAAGAGTCTGTTAACACGAGCGATAACTCGCACTTCCATGATAGGGGGCGCTGAGGGAATCAACAGCTATGGGAGCGCCATCTTCAAGGGTGTGGGGATTGTTCTCCGTGGGTATCACACGTCATGGATAATGTACGCACTTATACATACATATATGTAAATAAATATCAGCATATATATATATATATATATATATATATATATATATATATATATATATATATATATATATATATATATATATATATATATATGAACACGGGACCCGCGACTACGATGTACACGGGATCCAGGACTATTATGTACACGGGACTTAGCTCTTTGGTATACACGGGTCTCTGCACTATGCACATGGGACCCTGCTTTATGATATACATGGTACCCAGGACTATATTTGCACTTGGGACCCTGCACTGTGATGTACACGGGTCTCTGTGCTATGCACACGGGATCCCCCCCCCCCACCCCCATTATGATTAATACGGGACCCTGCACTATGATACGCACGGGACCCTTCATTATGATGTATACGGGACCCAGCACTTTGATATACACGGGACCCAGCACTATGATGTAGTCCACTACAGAGACCCTGCAATATGATGTACATGGGACCAAGTACTAGGATGTATACGGGAACATGCCCTATAATATACACGGGACCCTGTACTATGATGTACACGGGACCCAGAACTATATATGTACACGGTACCCTGCACTTTGTAAACGGGACCCTACACTATGATGTAGGCCCCTACATGGACCCTGCACTATTAGGGACCCAGGACTATATATGTACACGGTACACTATATACACGGTACCCTACACTATGTACACGGGCCCAGAACTATATAATATACACGGTACCCTGTATTATG